AGAGTATTTTACGCATGATGCTGTGAGGGTGAATATCCAGGTGAGGAAGTACAGTATGGTACGACACAGCAACCCGGGCTCGTTCAAGATTTGTTATAAGGTGGCGGCACCAAATTACGAGCCAGAGTTATCTATAAAGATGATTGTCGATGTGCTTGCTGAAATAGCTTTTGTTTCCACAAGGCTGAATTCCACCACCACCACCCCATCTATTTATGCGGCCTCGCCTGCATAATTTGGCAACCGGCATGGCTCAAACTGGATTCCAAATCGATGCGCCGAGCAAAAATCGTGAGAGGCGTGGTGGAAATCTCCGCCTCCAACAAGTGACACAGGCCGGAGAGAGGACCCTTATGCAATGCGCTGCTACGGCCGATGCACTCAAACCCGCATCAAATTCGAAGAGAAACAAGAAAAGAAACAAAAGCAAAAGTGAAGCCCCCTCCGATCTTGGTTCTGAATTCCTGACGAGTGGGGTTATATATGGTGGTGGTGGAAAAAAAAAAAGGAAACAACGAGAAAGAGGGATTAAAAAAAAAGAAAGAAACAAATCGAAACAAATCGAAACGAAATTGGCCAATCGTGACACTGGAATTGATGGCACGAGCAGCATATACCATTCTAGCCTCTAGCCTTCACTCCGATCGTTTTGGCGCCGCAGACACGCATCAAGCCTCTTGATATATCGCTTACAAGTATAGACTGGGAGGAAAATTTTTGAGTGCCAGGGCGTACGTGCGTATTGAATATATAGATCGTTGCGCCAAAGAGCGCTCAATTGGCTGGCAACTGCCACCAACATTTTTAGGCTTCCAATTGACGAGAGCCCCAATTCCGCAGTGGTGGTTTGGGTGAGTTTCTTTCCCTATTCCGGGTATCATAGCTCTAAAGGTACCAGTCGATGAAGCGTTCCAGAGGAAATACGCGTGGGAGGGTCGCAAGCGCTGGTACCCCGAGGAACAAGCGCACCCGCCAAGAAGCCAGGAAAGAAAGAGCGACAGCATGACAATTCCTTTCGAGGTATCATAGTTTAATCAGCAAGTTGTGGGACAAGGGTACGATCTGAGTGGAAGAGGATCGGGGATATTGAGTGCCAGCTTCGTGGTCTCCACTCATAAGCAGATACGTGTACCCGTAGTTAGGTTCTGACGACCACTCATTTGTGCTTTTACATCGCAGCCTGTCAGGGTAATTCTACCTCAGCCGGCCAAGAGAATCCGGCGCGATAGGTAGCCGTGAGGGAACACAGGATAAGATATGATTCGATACCTCTCTACTAGCCATCCTTGTCCCATATAATCCACGCAAAAAGCGACCCACAAAGGGATAAAAACAACTTCTTCACTCTCCCCATTTCCAAGACGGGGTAATTCTCCCCAGACAAGGCGAAATCTCCCCCCCCCCTCCTCCTCATATAAGATACCTGAGATGAAGTGTTTTTTTTTTTTTTAACCGCCAGCTTACCCGTCCTCCCGGCCGGCCCCACCCAATTCTCCTACCACACCGTGACCTCACTCACCAATAATCCATATTAACTCCTACACGCACAACCATAATCAAAAAGCACTCTCGGGAGTTCATCACTCCACTTGCTACCTTACTCCGCCCCTTACTAAGCGCCTATCATACCATCGCAGCAGCAGCCAGCAGCAAAGACACCACTTCTTCACCAAGACTCACTCGATTCGTGGCGTAGCAGGTGTACCCTCCTCCTCTCCAGGCGTTGCTGATGCTGCGGCTCGTGCACCGCCCGCCATTCCAAATACTACCCGAAACGGATTTCGCAACGATGGATGGATCAATCGTTATTCGTCGGGTAGGAGAGAGAGAGGGAAAATAGATGGGGTTGACTGTGTTCCTTTTCGAGATGGAGCGAGGGAAAAGCTGAAAAAAAGTACCGGTACTAATAATCGCGCTCGGTGGAATATTTTTTAAAAGAAAGGTTAAACTACCGTATGATGGAAGAGGTGTGAGCAGCATCCATCACCCCCTGTTCACGCAAAACCATGGATTGGTTGAAATTTCATCAAAAAGGTAAGCCGCTAAGCGGGAATCCACAATGTATTGTTCGAGAGAAAGGTGAAGGAACTTGTCAGCCCTGTTCAAACAAATTGACAAGGTTATCGTGCTTGGCGGATGCTCCAGGATCTTGGCAAGCGAGTGATAATATGTGCATTTGCCGACCGGGGCTTTTTAAGTTGGACGCTCAGATCTCGACGACGACGGGACTCTACGCAGACGAGCAAGAGCCAATCTCACTTAAATGTTTGCCAACTCATCCGTGGCCTTCATACCCTTTTGAGACGGAATTCTCTCGACGTTCAAGACCAGAACTTCCAATGCAACATCCAGGTTCTTCTAGCGGGACCGCAACGACCGATCCGTCGAGGTTCGGAACCGGAGGTGGTGTGTGGCGACAGGCGGCTAGGGCCAACGGGTTATTTTTTTCCCACCCCACATGGTCGTGAAGTGAAAAGGGGCTGACCACTTAACTCACCTTTTTTCCTTTTTCACCCTTCTCGCACCACATCTCCTACCGTGCCCAAATCCCGTGGCTTCCATGACAAATTGTGGCGGTCTCAGTATCTATTATCGGAGAGTGAACGGGGGGGGATCGAACTCCTTTTCTCTCACCTACGCTGTGAGGGTTCCGTGGAAGTACGGTACTACGCTCTTATGTATGAATCCCGGATTCAGTGTAGACATCGGCAAGGTGATTCAAGTAATTCCCCTGCGTCCACTCCGAACCCCGTTTGAAAAAAAATAATCCGTCATACTGCTCGTACAACGGCACATGATTGGAAAAGCCGGTGTACCAGTAGTACTGTAGATGTGTGTGATGTATAAAAGACCTAAATTTGGACTCAGGGGGGGTTTATATCCAAGGGAAGAAGATATCATAGATGTTCACGGGCGTCGTGAATTGACCTGGACTCGGAGGTTCGGTACTGTAAGGTGCACACCGTATACATGGATATACCGGTATACCGGTAAGTCTGAAACGGCCCTCGCCGCTCATGAGTGTGCTCTCGTTCGGAGGGTATGAGAAAGCCGAGGTGCTCACCTTTCTCACCTTTCCTCTCCTCTCCTCTCCCTCTCGTGAACGAATGAATGAAAAAGAAAAAAAGGAAATGCCGGTGGATATGCGCATTGACCGATCACGACAATTAATAGTAGCAAGCAATGCATAAATCATCCCATAATCGTAACCTTAGCGGATGGTAAATATCATACATACATAGGAAATACCGTCTCCAGTCGCAACTACTCCCACCACATGCATACAACAAACGCACCCACGCACTCACGCATCACCAACCCTACCGCGAATCCGCTAATCACCAGCTGAAACGCTCTCTGATCTGACGTGACGAGATGGATAGACTAAAGCTGCCCTACGCGGGTACCCCATTTCACGAACAGCAAAAAGCCGGGCGGGAAAGAACCACTTCACTCTCACCGGGATCGGGAAACTTTCCCGGACAAACGAAGGTTTAAAAAAACTGGAAGAAGAGCCTTCATATTAGGCGCCTTTTCACCGCCGGATAACTTCCTCCACCCCTCCCAGCCCTGTGGCGCTGTTAGGGAGGGAAATTTTTTTTCTCCAAGAGATTATTACGGTGATTCTGGAAGCTTATTCGTATGATAGCCAAAGTATCATACCCCCCGATTGTAACCATTAATGTCCAAATTTAAGCCTCTAGTCATACAAAGTGGTTAAGGAACCGGGGGTGATGGGGGGGGGGGGGTAAGGGTTGGGCACGGGTAGGTAGGTGTGGTATTCTACGTACGGTATGCGCTTAACCGTAGACGCCAAGTTTTTTTCCGGTCGGTTACAATATGCTGGCTGAGCTATTAACGGTTGTTTAGAGTTTTCCCCCGGTCTCGTAGCACAGTTATCAGAGCGTAGGTAGCACGCAGCGTTACCGTCCTCTTGGGGATGGGATCGGGAGATGGATGAAGGAGGAAGGGTGCGACCTTCAGCCGCTCCTTCTCTTCCTCTCTTCTCTTCCCCCCACCTCCCGAAAAGCACAAATTCTCGTATCATCATACCTATTACCAAGTTGTTTTATCATACCCTCATCATTCCCCAATTAACTTAACTCGGCCTCTGAGTGCAGTTTTTTTTTTTTGTAAATCGCTGTTTATCGCATCATACCCGTGCTCGTACGACGCTGTAACCTGTGGTGGAACCGATGCGAAAAAAATTCAATTCATACCGGTACGAGTATCGTACTGTATTAGTACATATAGTACAAGTTCCTTTCTTACCGGGATCACGGTCGCGGCCGAGCAGGGCAGCAAGGGCAGGGAGTTACCCGTGGTGAAAAATGTTTTGAGAACATAAACCCAGGGAAAAAAAAACTTTTTTTGGTTCGGTATTCCAAACGAACAAGCTGCGCAAGGGTCTGTCCTTTCCTTTTTCCTTTTCACCTTCCCTCCCAGCCAATGATATTGCTCATATCACGGTATTCCTCTTGGACCCAACCCGCCCCCACTTTTAATGCATTGATGGAGGGAGGGGGAAAGCTGGGTGCTGGGCGCAGCTAAATTCTTGTACGGTACGAGTTAGAAAATGTACCAACCAACAGAAGGCTGACTTGATGCCTCCCCCGCCTCAACTTGAGATCTCCGGAAACGGTGCGTTGGGGGGGGCTTTTTCTTTTTTCTTTTCTTTACCCTAACCAAGGGTTATGGGTATGGGTATGGAGTGAGCGGGGTTTCTTTGGATCGATAAGTCACGAGATAGACACGTAGTTTTCGTGGATGTGTAATGTGTTTAGTGCTTGTGGTACCAAAGTGAGAGATGGAATTGTTGGTAGGGATGGATAAACGATCTACTGGACTTCAAAAGTACCCCCCCCCCCCGGTAAGAGGAAAACATGGAGACGAAGAAGAGAGGAATTATACAATATGACAGTTCGGGTTGTATATCGGTGCACCCTTGAAATGATGATAATAATATTATTGTCATGGAAAATGGACAAAGGGAATTCTCGTAAAAATTAATGATGGTGATGCGCACCAACTGATTGGTGTCTAGACAGGAGAAGATAGCATAGAGATGGTATCGTAGAGATGGTAGAGATGGTAAAGAAAAAAGAGAAAAAGCAAAAAAAAAAAAAACTCCGTGCACCGAAACCCCCCCAACCAACCAACCAACCAAACCCATCCCCCCCTTCTTTCTAGAAAACAAAAAGCCGGGGGTAGGAGCGAATGTAGAGAAGAGAAGAAGGAAAAAAAATAATGAACAGGAAGAGGATATAAAAAAATGGATAATACAAGGAAAAAGAAGAAGTGTAATGTATGAAACGCTAAAAAGAGCACGACAGGATAATGATAATGAAAAAAACCCCGCCCAAAAATCAATCTTTTGCCCCGCCCAACCATATTATATGTACACCCAATCCGTTCGTCTCTGTCGTGAAAGAAGGAAGGAAGAAAAATTTGAATATCGTCCAGTCAGTCTCGTCCGTTCGTAAACCGAACAAATGATGGATACGGCAGTCAAGACAATCAATCAGTAAACCCTCTGCTGCGTGAAAATCTCCGCAAAGTCCTCCCGATACGGGGTATCGGGCAGCGGCTTATCCCTCCAAGAATACAGCCCCTTCTCGAGCGGCGCGTGGACCGAAGCCTCCCGCTTCAAGTCCTGGAACCCGAACGACCAATCCGCTATTCCCTCCCTCCTCCACTCCATGTACTCGTCGTGCACGCCCGCGACACCCCTGGTGCTATACTGCCACTCGTACAGCTCGTTCAGCCTGAGCAGGATCTGGTCCGAGACCTCCATCCGCGAATAGCTCATGCGTATGTACCCCTTCGTCAGCGGCCTGCCCCGGTAGATAACCACCAGCCGGCGAAGCAGGACGACGGCGTCCTCGATGTCCTTCTGGGTGAATTTGTTGGTCAGGGATTCCAGCTTCGACTTGAGGGCGAAGCAGAGATCTATCGCCACCAGCGTCAGCCCCTCCGAGGAGAAGACTATCTCGTTTTGCAGCAGGCTCTTGTGCACCACGTAGTCCAGGTAGTCGCTATCCACCTGTCGACCCAGATCGGTGTTCACCCAGTCGTTCGCCAGGCCGAATTTCTTCTCCGCGCGGTGCACGGCGCCGAAGAGGACCGATAATGAGCGGGGCGAAAGCGCAGATGCTTGGAGGATGCTTATCGAGTGACTGCGTATTATAATGAATTAATACCTATGGTCGAGACTATGGAAGCGAAATGATGATGATGATAATAATAATAATGAATAAAATAACATACGTTGTAGGTCTCGACTTGAATAACAAACAAGAGAGCGCATCCCCAGCGACAATCAGATGAACATGAATCCCCTTCCTGCACAACTTCTGGCTGATGTATTCCAACGCTTTAATGACGGTGTGGGCCTCCATATGGTAAACCGGGGATCCAGAACTAGGTGTCTGCCCCATAACCAATTCTTTCCTAATATATTTTTTTTCAATATATATAGGTGTTTACCGTCCCGTCGCTATTTCCCCGTCGTGCGTGTGTGTGTGAGTGCGTGTATCTTTGAAACGATCTAAAGTCGTTGACCAGCAAAGCCGGAGACAGCCAGGTCTCGGATGGAGCGATGATGTTGGGATGCGAGGGATGATGATCCTACTGCTGCTGCTGTGATGAGATGGGCTGGCAACCAAGTATATAATAAATCCCGGAACCGTACCTGCTCCGCATCGGTCACTCAGTGAGGCGGAAGCGTAGGTGTGGAGAGGTGGGGGATAGACCAAGGGAAAGTATTGATTGCGACGTGGAAGGGGGGGGAATAAGTAGATTAAGTAAAAAAGACACCGGTAGAGTACGTATTATAATAAGAGCCTCTATTTAATACCCAACTCACCAAACGCAGCAAGCGCGAGTAAGCAGAGCAAGAAGAAAGAGGAGGGTGGGGCGGGGCAGTGAGAGGATATATCACGACCCTCAACCAGCGGTTCCAAAAAAGAAAAGAAAAAAGCAATCCAAACACCCACAGTACTGGGGCCAACCAGAGGAGGAGTGAGAAAACAAAAACAAACATATCCACAACCCTCCCACATAACTGGTAAAACCACTTTTCTATTCCCCCTTCCAGTGCGTGGGTGCGTATTTTTGGCCTTGCGAGTTATGGATGGGTGTGTGTGTGGCCATGTGTGTGTGGGCAATTTTCCAGAATCGGTTCGCTATGTGCTGTCAGTCTTACAAATCCCGTGCAGCGCTGGCTTCCTACTCGTCCACAGTAACCAGGCTACCGGGCGCGGGAACGGAGGAACCAAGTAAAAAAAAAAGAAAAAGAAAAAGGGTTTCAGTTAAGCGGGGGAAATCATCTTTTTAAACGCGAAGCGCAACCGCGATGTCACGTTTTTTTTTATTATTTTATTTTTTTTCCTTTCTTTTTTTAACTAACTCTAATTCGTGCGCTAGAGGACCATGACAACGATATATAACACCCCCTTGCGTTAATTAGCCAGTTCGAGCGAACACGTATGATGAAGTACTCGTAGAGGGGCGTTTGTTTGGCTATTAGGGAGAGACCGGGGGAAAGGGGGAATGCATTGCATACATGGCACCAAGGAGGTTTTGTATGGTAGAGTACCGGATGTACAGTACTATAACTAGTATGGTTACGAGTTAAAAGTACCTTATTGTACGCTTAATATGGAGGAGTCACGGAACGGATATCCCAATCTTGATGTGGTACTCGAGTACTGGTGCTTGTATCATACCGGGGAAAATGTACGAGTACTGCACAGCACGGACTCTGATTTTGTATTCCCTCCTCCCCCCCGCATCGGGAATTAAAGTCTATTATTATTATTTCTGAAAGCCCTGACAATATGGGCAGGGTTGAGGAAAATATTATCGTATCCGAGACAAATATAGCCATCCATTGACATCATAAAAAGAAAGAATAACAAAACTCTAAGTGAGCTTGGCCGCAAAGACGCTTTCGATGCCCCCAAAACCAACGGTTTTTTCAAGAGAACCGGCAAAGATCCCTATCGTACAATACCAGATCAGGTCAAAGCATCTCCCGATATGTACCGAGGACGAAAGGAAAACATTCCCCCCCCCACCTTCCCAGGGGCTACCCGAACTTTCGGAATATCTTGTGCTCGGGGACGGGGAAAAGGTCCGTCGTACAAAGTACTAGCAATTTCCTCAAGACCCGGGGATGGGATCCAAACAAGTTGCTCCAGCTGTGGCATCATCGGCGACTCCACACACGCAAACCGGAATTGGCAAGAGCTAATGCATCTCGGATTCGAGGGGGGGGACATAACTCACATTCCGGTGACTTTTTTAACATAGTCTACGCCTGGAGTGTGCATGGCATGGACTTACCATGGTAAAAAAGTTTTTCACTTATCAATGCGCCAACCAGAACACCACGATGCCACTGTATGATGTTGTAAAAATAGCTATAGATACCTCTCCACGCCCTCCTTACCTTGACTTACTTACTTACTATGCAGTACTCGTGGTGTCGAAGCCTTTCTTAGAAAAGAACCATCCGGGCCCCGAGCAGACCGAGCAAATTTTGGCGGCGTGCGGGCATTCCCGAAAACACTTCAGCATCGCAATCACCGCGCCGCACTCTGCCCCATCCACGGAGAGGGAAGCTCCGTGTTCTCGGTGCATGGTGGATACGTGTTTTGGTAAAGGTGAATTTCTCACCTCCTATTGAAGCTAACCCGCACTTTACTTAGTTCGTGATCCTGGGGTACACGCAGAACGGCGAGGAATCTGGAGGGGTATAATACTACGGTAGTGAGGTGATGAAGCCCCCCCCCTCCGGAAAACACAACAAAAAAAAAAACGCGGTACGAACTATATATATATCCCTCCCCTCCAATCTCCAGATTCAGAGCCAAAGGCACCCCCGAAAAGGATCAGCATCTCCCTGGCGCGGTATATAAGATCAGCCTATAGAATGTGCTGGATTCAATTGCATTATATTCAATTCCCAACCTGTCAAATTAAACGTATTGGACCGAGGGGAGCGGGTCAAACATGGAAGTGAACCAGTCTTTTTTTTTTTTTTTTAAAAAAAAAAAGGGAAAACACACCAAAAAGGTCGGAATTTAAAAAAGCTCAATCCTGGGAAGTCAAAATACAACAACTTAAAATAATAATAATAATCTAGAAGGATATGATAATCTAGAAGTTTGGGAACCAAAATTCACAACAAGCAAAAAAGTTAATTCACTTCTGCATCTGATCCAACTTTCCCGGCCCAATACGTTAAACCTATAGCGGGCTAATTTCCGCTGGTGATCTGATAATGACACTGTAACGGACCTCGAGAAATTTATTTTAATTTACGGCCTCAAGGTCAATCGGATCACGAGTGAAGTCAATATTCCACAATGCCACACAAATCCGGTTGAGCATAGCTAGTGCAAGATCCTACAATCATATAAAGTTGGTGAATATGATAGGTTAAATAACGGTTGGCGGCAAATGATAATACCTCGAGTTGAAATAATTGTCGGAAGAGCTGATAGGCATGAGGAGTTGGGATCGGCGGCGTGCGGACTTGGAGTTATACTGTGGATTGCTTACATACTGGATGGGATGTGCGCGTTGAGGATTACGTACGTACTCACTGAAGCACTGGCCTGGGTTGTCTGAGGAATGACGATTCCCCCCTCACCTCCTTCTAATATCATACTTTGCTTCCGTCTCTCTCCCCTTGTCTTTCTTTCCTATCTCTACAAAAGGAATATCATCAAGTTCAATCAATCATCACAACGCAGACTTCAACAATAATAGAACCCATAGAGCAAAAAAAGGAGTATGTACTGTACAGGTAAATTTTAGAGCGGTGCTCATAATATATTGTCATACCACCAAAATTTAACCCTTTTGCTTGGACCCAGCTGTGATAATATGCAGCGGCTCTCCCTAAAAATGTTTCGACACTACGAGGACTGTACAGTACTGTACTCGGTTTGGGCTGCACCACGAACTTCGAGCATCCCAATGCAAGCGTGCAAGGGGCATAATAAGGTGAAGGATAAAGTAGGGCAACAAGAAAGAACACCAGAGCGCGACGCCGTGAGAACTTTGGAGAAAGAAAAAAGCCTTCAAAAGTGTTCAATGTTCCATTAGATCCGTAATATGCCATATTCATCGTCGCCAGGACTAATTACCACACTAAAGCACAATCATAATAACAAATCCTCCGGCTATGAAGGGATAAGACTGGGTATCGGTAGAGGTAAAAATAAATAAAAATCGGGGAATGAGCAAAAAGGAAGGATCTCTCCCGCCCAGCATGTGGAGAGGAAGGTATCACAGAAAGAACAAAATGCACAAACATATGTTCCTTCCTAGAGTAATAAAAAAGATAGGAACGATAGGAAAGAGATAAAAAAAAAGTCAAATGTTTCCACCTCTTACATGACAGTACACCTTTAATGAAATGGGGAATCATGGTGAGGGAATACAAAGAAAGGGGTAAAAGAAAACAAAACCAAGAACCCCCCCGCCTTTATGCTGCTTAATGCCGAAATTCAAAAAAAAAAAAAAATCCCCGAAACAATAATGACCTCACCCTAATTTTTCTTTATCCTCTGTCTATAACGATGAAATATCATACCTTAGCTCCTACTAACCCTTTCCCGTCGCCTTTCTTCGAACCCCGTTTACTCCACCACATACAGATACATAATTAACCACGAGATACATGACTTTTCCCACACACGAACGCCTGATACAAGATTTTGACCTCATGGGTTACCGTTGATAAGAAAAAAAAAGAAAACTTAGATTTAAGTGAAATAATAAGAAAAACATGAACAGAGGAGCGTAAAGAAAAATGTGAGTAATTAAGGCTGAATCGGGGAAATAAAATAAAGTATGAAAAAAAAAAAATGATGCAGGTGACGGGAAAAACGGGAAAAGTGGCAATCCGACAAATGAAAAGCGAAGGAATAATGAATTTTCACAACATGTGGATTAACGATGTGCATGAACGATCCTGGGCTTTCTGGCATTCTCGACTCGCTGGCTGTTCCTAGACAAAGGTCTAATAATCTCCACTCGTCGTCCCAAACGTGAAGATGGTCGCTCAATGTGCATGCCACGACCACCGGTCCTCGACAAAGGGCGATCAGCAAATCGGACAGTTGGCTTGCGGGGTTTGCTGAGCTCCTCCATCTCTCCAAAACCTTCATCCTCCCAGCTCCCTTCATCACCGCCGTCATCTTCCTCATCACCGTCGCTCCCCTGACTCTCAACCTCACCAATCTCAACAACCATAGATCCTGCGAGACTGGAACCCGAGTGCTTGTGGGTAAGAGTCTTACCCGCAGCCTCGAAGCGGAGGTGTTTCATCTTCGGGTTCTCCAACACAACACGGGCTGGCTCTTGAGCACGGGATTCGGTGGTTCTGGTGGGCTCGAGAACATGTGGCCTCACTATCTCAACTCCCGGACGCATGGTTCGTTCTGTGGACGAATTTACAATCCGTTGAGGTTCGGTCTGCTGAACTTGCTCCGAGACTTCGAATCGACGACCCTTGTGTTCATCCGTAACGACAGGCTGGCTGTCGTGGGAGATGACAGGCTTTAGGTGCTGATGCGGAGGCGGAGGCGGCAGGGTTTGGGATTGCTGCTGCGGCTGCTGTTGTTGGGCCTGTGATTGAGGTTGCTGCTGTTGCTGCTTCGGTTGTTCGGGCTTCAAGACATGGTGATAGACCCTTGAGTTATCTGGCTTGGTGATCGGACGCTGGCTGTGGGTGTTGCTATTATTGACAGTTATTTGAGCGTGGACCTGTTGCTCCGGCATGGCCGCCTGGTATTTACGTTCAGCGGGGCGAGAGCGGTCAGTCGAAGGATTGGAGGGTCTCTGAACTTGACTAGGCTCAGTCCTAATCTCATACTGCCTTCCTCTATCTCTGTTAGAGGTGTCGATAATCTGGGGCTTTCGTTCAGCCGGAGTGTCGACGGGCTTCTGGGGTTGTGGCTGGCTGTATTCGACCTTGACGCTTTGATATTGGCTCCGACGAACATGGTCGCTGCTCTGCGACGTGCGCTCGGTGACAGGTCTTTGAGGCTGGGTCTGAGGGTGAGCATTATGTTGCTGCTCCTCCGATCTGACCGGCTGGTAGCGGCGCTGTCTGACATGTTCGCTGCCCTGAGATGAGCGCTCATTGGCTGGACGTTGAGGCTGGGGCTGGTACAGAGTTTGGTGTTGCTGAGCTTGGTGTTGTGAGGGTCGGATAATCTCATACTTGCGTTGCCTCGCGTTATCACTGTTCTGGGGCATGCGCTCCCCGGCGGGTCGCTGCGGTTGGGTTTGTGCTTGTTGTTGCTTAGTGAAAGTGTTTCCCCATTGAGCTCCGGGCTGATCGCTTCTTGACCTGTCAGGTGGATTCGGCCTAACAGATTCAACCACGTAAATAGGACGGTCGGGAAGGGCACTGGACTTAGGATGTGATTGGCGATGCTCAATCACAGGCTCCGGTCGACGGGTCTTATTCAACTCTGGTGCGGCAAACTCCAAGCGGTCTGGGCCAGGATTGGGGCTATTCTTCTTTGATCTGGATTGCTCAATCTTGGGAGGATCGAGTTGCCTTCCCCGCTCAGAAATGACACCAGTATGCTCCCCCAGGATCTCGGTACGTTCCAGGACTATGTTGGTCACCTTTGGCTTGGCCTTGTCAATCCTGGTCTTCCTGCTACCGTCGCTTCCACGTGGTGCGAGTTCAGGTTGAGAATTAGAAGGACGCCGGCCTAAGGGTTGTTCGGGTTTGCGGGTTGGAGACTGACGGTTCTTGTCAAGAGTGATTTCTTTGGGCTCGAAACGGGGGGTATCAATGCTAGTGGTCCGAGTACTGGTGGAGGACTGACTGGAGGCCGAGGAATATCCATGAGAAGACTGGGAAGAGGGAGCAAAAGAAGAAGTCCCAGACGAGTGATAGGATGTCTGGCTTGGGGCAGTATGGCTATTAGCACGGAGGTGGGCCGGACGCATATCAACATGAATAGGCTCGTATTTGGGGACTTCGGGAACAGGGAGGGCATGTCTTCCTTCGGCAAAGAGCTGTCTCGGATCGGGCATTGGCACAGGGAATTGCGGATTGAGCATGGGATGGCGTCCTGGGAACTGTTGCTGTTGGGCATATTGGAGCTGGTTTGGGGGAGGCATGGGTTCCGGATGGAGGTACACCTGGAGTCTATCGGTCAATGGAGAATAGTCGTTCTGCTCTTCCTCGGAGTACTTGTGCCATTGGTTATGATGGAACTGAACCAATGACTGATAAAGAGATTGGTACTGCGGTGGGGACCTGCAACAGACCGATTTGACCTTCGCGCCAGACTGCTGATTATGAAGGAGAACACTATTGACCAGGGCAACTTGGGTTGGCGTCAACCGCTGAACAGGGAACAAGATCTCATCATCCTTCCTCCTCTCCAACAACACATTATTGCCAAAAGCCCTCTCAACCTCGGCCGGCAAAGTCCAGTTCGGTTTGATGAAGGTCACATCCGATTTGTTCATATCCTTGTAATACTTGGGCGCAATTTCATGCGGCAAGCCTTCCAGGATAGAACGCCTCAGGCCATATCGCTTCCTCTGGTTTCGGGTAAGCTCGGGATGCATCAAAGTGCCATGGCAGAGAGCAGCGACCAAGGTCGGTGAAAGAACGTAGAGTTGATGCCACATGAAATCCCGGGTGTAAAGGTGCTGTTCGAGTTCCCTTGCCCTCAAGCTAACCTGTGAATTCTTCTTCGCGCCAATCTGACCACCCTCAAATCCCCCAAAAGCATTCTCGGTCAAGATAAACTCCTCGCCGGGTCCAGCCTCCCAAAACACCAAAAACCTCTCCTTCGCATTCACACGATAGTTCTCCCGATCCAAGTCAAAGATATCCATATTGCTCTGAACGTCGTAGTGCTGAGAGTCCAAAATCTGTTCCGAGTTACCCAACCAAACATCCCTAGGATGCTCCATCTCATGTGCCTCAATAAACTTCCTCCTTCTAATCCTCGCATCCTCCATGGTCGGGTCGTGGGCTAGTAGGTGCATAGTCTTGTCCCTGCTGTGCTGAGAAGTCATGAGAAACAGGAATTTCCGTAGCTGGTAGAGGTCGCCACGAATCAAGGGAATGGTTCCGGAGGGCTGTTGTTGATGAATTTGCCAGATGGGGTCCATCAGCCCATTGAATATCTCCCGATCAACCCTCTTCAAAACATCAAACTTGCGGAATCCCTCCCGCATCCAAGTGCTTGTGGTCAGGTTGTCAAAGTACGGAGCGTAGATATTCTCAGCACCAAAGGTTTCACTCCAGTGTCGCTTCTCGAACTCCTTTGCTTCCGGTTTGTAGATGATCAAAGTCTCAGATTCTCCGACCACAGCCGGCCTAGATTGGGGGGAGAAGCACATGTTAGAACCAAAACAACCCTGAAAGCTCCATCTGACAGCAAATCCGTGCTCTATTCCATCCTTTTCACGAGTTCGTTCTCTCTGCGAAAAGAAGGGAATAGAGCACTCGGAGGAGGTTAAGGCGGTACATTTGATTATGGTCGTAAACCACCCAGACATTCTGGTCCTGTGTATTGCAAAAGGTCCTCAGTACGAAAGGAGGAATAAAGTGGCGAAACTTTTGAAGGTCGCCCTGAGGATCACCGTGGGCGAAGAAGATGTTCGCCATGCAGCGAGACCACTCCACGGAGTCCATTTTATCACCGTGGAACTGGGTCCCTCACCCGAGGCTGATGGTTGTTGAGTTGTTGAGGAGGATTTCTAGGTGGTAACGATGGGAGGGATGAGGGGTTGTTTATTGTTATTGTTGATACCTAACGACGACAAACGGAAGGGAATCAGCATCGGTCCGACGACCCGCGGAAGAGGAAGCGAGCACAGTGACAGGGCAACCTACGCGATCAACACGCTACAGATGTAGGATGTATTTAAAATGTATGTGTCTGTACGAAAGATATGTACGGTGCAAAAGGGGGGTGGTGGTATAAAAAAAAAAAAAAGTGGGGTGTAAATAACAGTGGAGGGTAAGTAAATAAGGAGCGGAAGAGGAGTAAGAAACGAAAATCTTTCGTTGAAAAGGTGGTCGTTATTTTTTTTTTCTGATCCTGATCCTTTTCCTTTCTTTTCTTCCTTTGTTCGGAGTACGGATCCCTATTTTTATTTTTTTGGTCCGTTTTCCTTCCTTATTTTCTTTTTCCTGTCTTTTGGGAGCTTCTCGTTTGGACTTTTGGTGACCCTGGAGGCTGAGTGGTGAGAAAAACACAAAGTATTAGCGTGACTGTCGATGTAACTAGAATGGTCCCTTTTTCCCTGTCCCCAGTTCGAAAGAGAAAAGAAAAGGGAAAAAGGGGAAAAAAGAGAACAGCCAATTCGTCCAGGAGCATCCATAAGCATCCGCCGCAACCCATAGCCAACCCCCGGTGACGATGAACATCGCATGCAACCTGCCAAATGCTCCCCCACCAATGATCTACTAAATCCACCGCACCGGGCGCCAAAGAAATGTAAAGAAATAGTAACAAAGGAAGTGGAAGACCATGCTTACCACTGCAGGTGTGCCTTTTTTCCCCCGTACCTTTTATAATTAGATTACTGCTTCTTCTTCCTGTCCTTCTATGCTTCTTCTCTCACTCGGTTCGTTGATTCCAACTGCAAGCGAACGGTCTCCCCCTTCTCCTTATTCTTCCACCGACCGGCAAGTAAAACGCAGGAGTAGAAGGCAGTAGCTGGCTGTAGAGGTAGGCAGTTACGGTCAAAGTTGGTATGATATGTGGGGTAAGGAGGTAAGAGTATGATGCCGAAAAACGTTATCCGTATCGTAAAATAATCACACGTATGATAGTAAAGTAAAAGAAAGAAATTTATAACAAAAAAGGGGTTAGTTGACCGAACGCGCGGTTCCTTCCCTCCTTCCTTTTTCTTTCGATCCAAATCAAAGGTTCCCTAGTCTCTCTTCCTTTCTCCAAGCAAAACAAAAATAAAAAAGCAACTGCGACGACAAAGAGGCGCAGAAATTAGATGCAGAGATCCAGCGATGAGAGAACACGAGGGAAAATAAGAGCAGCAGCAGCAGGCCGAACAATAGCAGTGTCAGAAGTTAGCGGGTTGTTGTGGTTTTGTTCTCGGGTTAACATATTATGACGCATAAACACCCCTATGAGCGGCAGCGGAGAGCTTTGGTGGAAAAGAAGAAAATGGACAGGATGAGGAAGGTCGGCGAAGGGAGAAAGAACTCAGTCGAACGAGGAGGCGAAGCGGAAGGGGGAGAGGGGGGGGGTTGGACCAGTGGGGGAGGGGGGGAGATTCCCTTTTTTTTATGTTCTGCACATTCTTTCCTGCGGCATATGCACAGGTAAATGAGCCCTACCAAGCCTACCCACCATCAGGTTCATCACTACGGACATCGTTGACTTGCCTCCCCCTCCATAACCCCCTTCCTCTTGCTCACCCCCCCTTCTCTGTCCCCATCCTCCTTCCCTTCTTACCCCCCCCGGCACTCACACATTCAACTCGCACCCACATCCGCTCAACTCACATCCCCCCTCAACCAATTAGCCGGTCAGGATGGATGCGGCCATAGTCAGCCAGTCCGTCTTCTTACGAAACAAAGTCATGCTTAACATTTAGCTTTGCAAATCATCAAGAACCCATCCGAACCCGAGAAAAAAAAACAGGACGAGACTACTGTACTCGAGTACGAGTACTGGTACTGTATGATGCAAGACTAAGGCAAGAAGGAGCATCGGGGGGAAAGAGCAAGACAAGCAAGGAAAGGGAGGAGATTCGTTTTGCTTCTCTACAAGTACGGACCACCGTACCGCGTAGCGCGTACCTACGATCCTCAATTATCCCACTTCTCTGCCATACGGTCATGAACAAGGAGGGGGTGGGAGCCGGCTCGGATTGTACGATATGACCCAACGCCGCCCTCAACTCCTGAGACATCCTGACCCAAACAAGGAATTAATTGTTTCAGTGAGAGGAAAAGGACAAGAATTCGGGAAAAAGTGAAGCAGGAAAAAGAAAGAAAAAGAAAAGAAGAAGGAATATTTGGGTACTTGTACGACCCCGCAATTGATAGCGATCCAAAAAATCCTTCCCCTTTCCTCACCAAAATCCTCAGCCAAAAGGGGGGATGCTCATCATCGTTAATCAAGTTGAGAAGCAAATGTAAGCAAGGGCGCGAAATGCAAACGAACACGTTCAATCATTCATCACGTCAAAAAGGCCTTTCCCACAGAATGCGCGCGCCGCATCACATACCGTACTGTACCTGCGCTCATAAATTTCTCCACCTATCACACATATACTATGTGCTATGGGAGTACCGTATCTCACCCCACACCTTCTAGTCAGAAAAACCAAGTAACAAAAACGAACGAACAGAATACCGCAGCCAGTCGGACTCCTTTTCTTGAACTTTTGAACCCTTCCCACACACACCCATCCATCCACTCCGTCCGCTCAAAAAATAAAAGGGATCATATGTCACGAAATCGAAATTAAAAGAACTGAGAGGGAAAAAAAAAAAGTGTGTGTCCCAACAAAACATTCCCCTTTCGCTCTCCCGATTCCAATTCCCCCAAACAGGGAAATATCAGACCTCGCACGAGTAAAACCCTAATCAACCACCTCTTTACTGCACCCACCGATCTCAATTCGGTTCTCGTAGGAAACCGTACCGGTTACAGTAAGTAGTACTCGAGGATGGGGAGAAAAAGGAAAAAACAAGAGACAAAACAAAAACAAAAATAAATAAATAAATAAAAAAATAAGCCGTGAGGCAATCATGGGGAGTGAGAGTGGGTGCCGGCGGGTTTTTAATTTATTTGGTGGATGGGAGTTGGATATTTCGGTGACAGGTCGGGTGGTTATCTACTGTATTTCTCTCGGGGGGGGGGTGCCGTAAAGATGAAGGCAAAGGGAGAAAGAAAAAAAAGAGGGATGGAAGTGGAGAGATTTTTTGGGCCATCAAGATATTCACAAATTAGGGTCAAAAACGGCAGATACCAGTACAGTACAGTACAAGCATCATAATATCATACCAGTACAATCACAGCAATAGTAATTCGCAGCCAAGCAAGTACTGTAAAGTACTTCGTACAGGTACCGTATACGGTATGATATGATACAGCAACCAACTGGTATCGTAATAACAGTAACCCTAACAACTTCCAAATCCAACCGCAAAAACAAGTCGACGAACAGGATAACGTCCCCTTGCACTGTTTCCTCCTCCAACCTTAGACCACCCGCCATCCACACACACACACACTCCACCACCTATGATACCCACACCACCGAGTATCGTAATTACCGTAACGATAAAAAAAAAAAAAAAAAAAAAAAGCCCGAAATCGACCAGGATCCCCTTCCTTCCTTCCCCCAACCAACTTGGCCCTTGCACGACGAAAACAAAAAAACAACTACCGCAGTCAATGCTTTATATATATATATATATAAAAGGTTGCGATCAGAATGTGATCCGAGCCCCGTGAAACGAACGAAGGAACTCACGAACTCACGAACTCAACTACGGTTACGGTTCAGACAATCATGTACTCGAGTATATAGTAAATCGTACAGAGCAAAGTACGGTAACGGAGAAAAAAAGTGCAACTGCTGGTAATGAACCGGTGATCCCATCAATCCTCTCCTCTCTCTATCTCGAAACGAATAGACTAGCGAGCTCTCGGGAAAAAGAGATATAAACGTTCGAGAAAAAGACAAATTCTTTTTTTTAATAATAGTAATAATAATAATAAATACTGGTACCCCCCCCCCCCCCTGTAATCCCCATAAGGGGTTTCCCCCTCCTCCACATTTTTACAAATAACGACTTTTTTTTTTATTTTTTCCTTTTTTTTAGCCCTTCCCCCGCGCTAGAAAAGCATTAAAATGGGGATTTGAAATCAATCAAATTGGTTTATGAAGATGAAGCCGGGCGCCCCCCCCCCCCCGCAACTAACTCACAAGTAGCACCCACTTGAGTGAATGGTAAGACAAGAAAGCCAAGATCAGCTCTTGCCATCATCATAAAAAACCACCCCACCACCAAAGCCGTAGTCGAGTAGTCTAACTATCGGGTACGGGAAACTTTTGTACGAGTACTTGTATTGTAGGACTGACTTAAACACCCCCTTTCCGTGGAAAGGTGTCTACCGTACAGTACCGGTACCGGATGATATATTCCCAATTTTAAAAATTCGGATCGAGCTGGCTAAGCCAGCCAGCCATCCAGCCATCCAGCCAGCCGGTTCACCCTCAAGCGGGGAGCGGGAGGGCATTTTTTGTCGTCGTCGTATCGTCCTTCCGGGCCGTAATTGTGAGTTATGACCGGGGGGAGGAGGAAAGGGAGCGCGTGGCTGGATTGGGGATGGGGAAAAAAGACGATTTACGGTACGATATACTCGAGTAATGACCCTTACGGTCATGCGCACAAACCTTTTCTTTCTTTTTTTTTCTTTCTTTTTTTTTCTTCTTCTTCAAAATTTGTGCTGTGTGTGGGTTTGATGGTTGTCTGGAAAAGACTAACTGAAAAAGTTATAAATAAATAATCTTTTGATCTTTTGCGGAGACGGTTTCCAGCGCGAGTTTGCTGGTACGAGTAACTGCACCGGTAGGATATTTGATATTTGTGATGGTGGTTGGCGCTAGCGTGGGCTAGCTTGATGGGGAATTGTTGTAAAGTGAGTGAGTGATCGATCGTCAATATATCAATGCTTCTCCCGCTATTACTTACTTACCTCCTCCTTCTTACAGAGAAAGAGAGTGCTGAGTGAAGGGTTACAGTACTCGTACCGTCCTGGGTCTTATGGATTGGAACAAAATGGGGAAAAGATCAACACGAACACAGACAGACTCATGACCCCCCCTCCCACAACCCCCCCGATTCTATGACTTCTACGATGGAGAGAGAGCCTGATACTTGACCTGACCTGACATGACCATGACATTAAGTTACCTTATCCCGAGCTTACCTACCTACCTGCCTACCTCATCTACCGTACTCGGCGACAGTAGATGCTCGGCGATGCGAGTATAGTGCTGTACCGGTGAGCTGCAAAGGGCGGAAAGGAAGGAAAGATGGAAGGAAGGAAAGGAATACGATGCATCCACTTCACTCCACTCCGGGTGTGCGACCGACCATCAGCATCAGCATCAGCATATGTTACTTATATCCATCTCACAGATCGGTGGTTTGCAGGCCGAGCCAGGACCGGAAACCAATATCAAATCTCTTGATGGGATGGATGGATGGGGGGGGGGTGCGTTTCGATAACCGTATTTGATGGCCCTACCTGCCTGCCTACCTGCCCATCCACGGTGCGACCCACAGTTGATGTTTGGTATCATATCGCGCGCGTATGTGTGTGCTTGCGCGTCAAGTGGAATATGTGATGCCGTACCAGTATGATGTTATTATTATTATCGGTGCTGTGCTTGCTCGCCTCTTCCAGGTGCAATAATAGGGGGGGGGGGGTAGGTTAAACGAA